GTTATCACAAAAGCACCAAATTGATTTTGACGTCTGCTCTGTTAAAAAAATAATCTGAACAGATTTTCCATTTTGGGTTTCCATATCTTTTCTAAGCCTCTAGATCAGCTCGTTGCTACAAGTTACAGACTAGTTGTTCAAATTATTAAAGAAATGAACTGAAGTGCGCCTTTGCTGGCGCGAAATGCAGAAACTAACTGCGTTCAAAGTAGATTCGCCGAGAACATGACAAGCTATGGGAGGCATCGCGAGTTAGAAGACGTTCGAAACATTTCCTTGCATACCATCGCGTATCATTTATCAGGGAGAATTAGCTCATTAAAAGGTCGACTGGCTCATCCTCTTTTATTTTCTTAAAATTCTTTTCCCCCGAATGTGCCTATGTTTGTTTGCTTGGAAACCGGACTAATATCAGGCTGTAAATCTTGAAACCATCGGCAGATGTAATTGGATCACAACTTTTTTTGATGCATTTGAGCATCAGTTCGAATCTGTATTCGGTAAACGTGAATTGGAACAAAAGTTTATGTTGCTGGTTATTTCTTGCCCATCTTTGAATCTTGAAAATAAGTGCTTAAGTTTACTTCTAGATTGCCAAAGTTGATTCATCATCTCACGTCCCTATGAATACTTCTACGACGGAAGCAGATCCCGTCTTGGATAATGAAACGGACGATGAAAAACGAGGCACAATTTTGTGGTTTGATTAGAATGTTCAAACATTGAATCTGCAATTTTCTAGGAGGTGTGAGATTCATGATTGGGAGTCCCATAGCATGTGGAACGACATTGCTTTCCCCCGATGCGAATGTTCATGGACCCAGTACCGGTCATTCTCCTGGGGATACCGACTTTACATCATCGAACGGAACATTAAATTATTCCTCGTCCACCACAAAACCGTTTAGTGCAAATCCCCGTGCACCGCCTCCAACCCATCAGAGGAAGTTGTCAATGCCATCACAGTTCCCTACCACGCCTAGAGGTTGCAAATATCATTATTGATCGTGAGACTTCTTTTACATTCAGCTAGTATGTTATAGGTTCTGAGTCAAGAAGCTCTCAACTTACGGATCTTTTGAAGCAATCTTTCACTCCAAAGAGAGGAACTGTAAGATTTGCATTCTTCCCTTCTTATACTGGCACCTCAAAAATAGCAGCGAGTTGTGAGAATCACAAATATAGAGCGATAATCAAGTTTGGGTCTCCCTTTTTAAAGCCAACGGATTTAGAGGACATAAGCTCATGATCCAAATTTTCTTACCATTTTATTGAGTTGCAAAAAAAGGAATATGAATCTCCAATCAACTTCTACTTCTAAATACAGCATTTTTTCAAACTAAGAGTGTCTTTTCTTAGCACGTTTCGTTTTTTATTTTCCATAGAAAATTATAATAGAGGTATGAATCTTCAAAGTATTTGTGTTTTTCAACTCTAAATCTAGGAAAACACCACTTCTGCTATTTTCCTGATACTGGACTTAGATGGGTGTTTGCGAAGTCGAAGAACAAAAACAATGTTTACTCTATGCTTTCTTCATTAATCTTGAAAAACGTTCATTATAGGAGTTATATGTAGCACATCTAGTTGAGAAGATTTTGCTCGAAAAGTCTAGATGATGCACGTATGCTCAGATTGCCAATAGGTGCTTTGAATTCAGACTGCGCGCGGTGAGTTTTCAAAAGGTGTGTTAGCAAGTGGAAACGCTGAACCCATGCTGACGTCTGAATTTGTACCCTGGTGCAGCCGAATCTTTGTGCAACCCATATTGGATCTTATTTATGTGAGTCCCTGATAATGAGATACATTACCTTATGTAAGTGAATTTTTACTCTTATAGTGTAAAGAGGAGGTGGAAGATTTCACGGATCGAGCGCTTACACTAGTAAATCCGACTGACTGGGCAATTTTTGTAGAGCAAGGACAGCGACAACAAGCGCACCACGAATTTGAGCACTTTAGGGTATCATATTTTTTCCAATTTTTACGTCACTTGAGGAATCCGTTCACAGACAACTCCCTGCGATTCCCAGCTAGTATTTGCTCGTATTCCTAAATGTCCAACCTCTGTTTCACTTTCAATGCTGCGAAAGTGTATCTATTCCACTGATGGAGATCAGATATACATCACGCGTTATGAAAGAACGTATACCAATCTTGCAAGAAAATTTTCCTGCAATGGAGACAATCCTTTTAATACGGTGAGCTTCTTTCCTTCTTTAGAAAGTAACGTTTAAGCTTGAATTGCAGGATAAGACTTCTTCCTTAATTGTTATCAATGAATTATCACGCGAAATGCTTCTCTGCGGTTCATCTGCTGGAATTGTGCGGGTGAGTTGTTGTGGATTTGATAAAGCAAATCAGTGCATCATCTGTTTTCTTGCAGATCTGGGATCCTTCTTTCAATATCCACTCACATGAAATAGAAGGGCTTCCACAACTTGTCACAGCATCTAACCCTCTTTGTGATCAATCCAGACTACCTGTTCCTGAGCATGGGACCCTATCAACCCTCTATGAGTAAGTCTAATGCGTCTTCCCACAGGTTCACGCGTCATGCTTTATACTTATAAATTAGCACTGTTTATAGCTGGAGTCAAGAAACAGGCCGATTGATTTGTGGCGGAAATGTGCGTGTGATTAGAGTCTGGGATGCACATTATGAAAGGACTGCCCAGGACATCCCTGTAACTGCGAAAAAGGGTGGAATTTGTGCCCTTTCTGGTGAACTTGATCGTGACGACCTCATTGCTGCGGGTACCACCTATAAGTATAAATGTCTAATATTTTTCTCCCAGTTACTCAGTTCGCAATTGTAGGTTATCGCGACGGTGTAGTTCATGTGCATGACATCCGCGTACCTGGCAAGGATTCATTGGTGATGTCCTTCGGTGACTTATCTAGTCGCGTAGTTGGTGTTGCCATCCGCGTCGACGTTAATGGAAACGCCATTGTTGCGGCGGGAGATGAGAATGGCGATGTCTGCGTTTGGGAACCGCGAATGATAAAGGTACTGCATTATAACTTCTCACAGAGGAATCTTGCAGATGCATGTGGAGTATAAGTTACTTGGCGATAGAGTTTCTTAAAATTCGTTAAATTGGTAGTTTCCAGTCTACTAATGAATATGCAGATTTTTGTTTGTTTAAGGTAGAGTGTTAGCTTAAGCTCAACTTAGTTTCTGAACTAACTTGACCTTATCTCAAAGATAAGTTCTTAGTTTTCAGAATCGTACTTATAAATGTATTTATACGCGCCACTCAAAGTTTTCACAAGATTTTCCATTGGATTGTTTTTTGTCTCTTTCTTAATTCATGGAACTCAGACAGGGTGGGTTGAAGAGCTTAATGCTTGAAGTTTGATTTAACTCGCTTGAGATGCTGCCATTGAATTTGGAAAAAAAA